TTTCAACTATAGAATTTTAGTTAGAGATCATTCTTATAGTTAAATATTATATTCAAGTAAATTTTATATTTTTTGACCAAATCTTGATTAAAAAAATTACATATCACAAATCGATTTGTCAGCCTTTTTAAAACGCTATTTGCTGTATCTTATGTTAAGATGACAATAAAGACGTGAATGCTCAAAACTAATAAATCTATTGTAATAAGATCTATGAATTTTATATTAATCATTTGGTCAGCAAATGACCCGTAAAAAAATTATGTGCTATAAAACAATTTTTTGGGTATTTTAAAACGATTTCTTTGGTTAAAGTGTTAGGATGACAGTATTAACACAAATGACTAATACAATACAAAAAAGTGTATTTTCATAAGATAATATAGAGAAAAACTTACTACACAAATGAATTTTACTTTAATAAGCTTTGCAACTTTTGTGCACTTTGTCGTAGAATTCGAATTTCTTCCATTCACGTGCAAAAAATGAGTTTTTCGCTGTTTTTACATCAGTTTTGCATTACAAAGAGTCTGCATTGCATGGCAGAGTAAAATGTATAAGACAAAAGTTGTATTGTATTATGATCCACAAATTTTCCTTTAAACACAAACGTGTAAAATGTATGCACCAATACATTGGTCGTGCCTAATAAAGTACTCAAGATTTCACTAAAGCGACTGAAACGGAGAGTGCTATTGTACTACGAAATCCAATTATTCACCCCTGTGCGGTCAGTCATGTAACATTTATTAGAGAATCAGTACCAAAAAATCCCAATCCCCGAAATAACAAGCCTCTTCCCTCCATCCAAGAAAAGAAACAACAACCAAGCTAACACGCGAATCCAATTGCGTGTAAACACAAAGCTCCCACGATCGATAAGCTTTCAGTCCTTGTCGAGTATCATACGCCCATCTGGTTACCAATTTTCTCCCTTGTATACTTTCTTCTCCACCACCATCCTGTACAGCCCTGGCCTTGCAAGCAGCACCTCTCAAGCTCTGCCGTACACATTCTACAGACGTCAAGCCTTTCGCGCCAGCCTGTGTCCAACCGTGAATCGAATTTGACTAACTAATGGATAGTCCGGCCGCGATACGTCAGCAAATCCACCCGCCTCCTTATCCACTCTTATTAAAATTGAAGACACAATAATTAAAAGTTAATGAGCAACTTTTCTAGCAATCATCCAGTAAAAACTTCGTAGTGAACAAAAAATTTTAGTTGTAATGAATTTAGAAAACTAGCTACACCCTCTGATGTGTGTATACTGACAGAAAAAATCACTTGGATTTAGACACTGCGTATAAACTGTTCAGAAATCTTAAAATAATCAAGCTTTTGATCATTAATAGCTAATGTACGAATAATTTGAAATAAAAAATCAATATTTTCCGCAAAAAAATAAGATTTATCAATAGTAAGGACGAGACTTGTTTACTGTTGGTGAAATGATTATTTAATTATCCTCGAAAGAATCAAATAAGAGGTTGAACATTTTTAAATAATGAGTCTATACCGATTTTTAAACGATAAGTACTTATTCGCTATCACCAAAGATTAAAAAGAATCACTCGAATTCGAGAAATCGATGTTTTTTATTTATTTCGATCTACATAAAAAGTAATGCACTCATTACTACATTTAATGCTAGGAAAGATTTCTAACGTTAAATGCTGGTACATGCATAATTATTCAATTATTTTTTAATGATAATCTCGTACCCGCAGTTGGTACGAGTTTTTTTACATCATCGTAACTTCTATTAATTGTTTAAATTGTTTATACTTTTAATGTAAATGTCTACAAGATGTTATTTTAAGATAAAAATAAAACTGATTTTTGAAGATAATGACACTGTACTTATTCAAACGAAAAATCTGATCTACAACGCTTGAAAAGAAATATCATACGTAACTCATAAATGTACCTTAAACGATTTTGAAGCCGGTTACGAGTGATTCATTTTGAGTTTTAAGTAAAATGAACTAAAAAGTCAATTGATCATATTGAAGATTGAAAAGCTGTACTTTGCTTAACGTAACTAAGTATGTATACATCGGAGAGTGAAGTTTGCCTTCTAAATTCATCGTAACTATATTTTTTAATTATTTCTATGATGGTAGATTCTACGATTTCTGTGGTGCCGAGCTATACATAAATATATTAGGTTATTGGATAGTAGAGAACAGAAAGATTAGGCGCCACAGAAATCGTAGTCATGCCAATACTGTGAAAGTGTCAAATCGTCAATTATAAACGATAAGAAAAATTTATCAACTGATAAGTTTTTAATTGTTAGTAAAGGTGTCTCAAATATTAATAAATAATTACTACTTCAAGCAATTCAATATTAATATTCATAAGTAAATGATACATTTGTAACAAGTAATTTTTTCTATCAATGTACTTCTCAACTTTTTAATTTTTTTTACAAACTAGTAAGCTTAGGAAAAACTTGTCAAGAAATTTTTTAACAGTAAATAATAAATACCAAAAAAACTATTTCCTCTTAACCACATTGCATTAACCGAAAATTTC